GTCTAAATTCAGCTACAATGACCGTACGTTGTATTTGGGGGAAGACTGTAGGCTTCCCATAGACTTTCTTTGGTTCCTCGGCCTCAGGCTCTGCCTGGGGTTCGGAGCTTTCGGCGACCTCCTCCATAATGGTGTCACGGTTAATCCTTCTCCCGGCCGTTCCCAGTCGAGTGGTTGCGTTCACCCTATCACGTCCGTCGTTTTCCAAAATGAAGTTGGCCTGCGGCCCGCGCCCCCGGAGTTGATCCCAGATGATCTCGCCCACCAGTTTGGCTTCTACGACCGTTATTTCTAACCCGTTGAGCATGATAATGGCTCGCCGCATCCCTCCTGGCGAGTTCCAGTTCACCCGTTCCCCTTGTGGTCCAAATATCTCCCCTTTTAATGACCTGGTACACCTTCTTTTCAGAATATCATGGTTGAGCTTTGGGCACGCGTGCACATAATGTCCTATCGCGGTACAGTACTTGCATTGCTCGTTAGCAGGATCTCTCCGTCCGAATCCCCGGTTGGCTACACCTGGCGGATCCACAGCTTCCTGGGGAGGGAGGGAAGGTCGGGATACTTGCGCCTGCATAACCAGTGGCGCACCTTCCATCCTTTCAATCTTATTGTCGACCCCGTGCACCCGTTCATGTAGACTTTCAATCCCCTTCTTTACCTTGTCGCCCGTCCTACCGGTCAGATCTATGATCTCTCCTTCCTTGAGCAAGGCCAACGTCTCTGTTACTACCGTTTTCTCAGCCAGATCCGTTACCGTGCTAAAATCAACATCCCGCGTGTTTACGAACTTGCTCGTCTGTTGGTAACCTGACAGGATCTTGTCTTTGTCGAACTCGGAGAACTGCCTGAGGAAATATTTGCTCATTATCCGGTCCGTGACCCCGGGGATCCTTAGTGCTACTAGAGTAAATTCCCGTAGGAAATCATTGTACGTTGCGAAGGTCTTCCTCTGAACTGCCGCTAGGTCGGCCTCCGTTGCCATTTTCTCTGCCGCTAGGTATTTCCTCATCATCACATCCCGGACCTCCTTCCAAGACCGGCTTGCGGCTACAATGACCATTATGTCCTGTCCTAGGCTTAACGACACATGCTGTCCTAGATGGTCCATCTTTTCCTCCTCGGTCCACTTTAGTAACGCAGCTAGGTTCTCGTAATCGATCAGGAATTCCGTGATGTTTGCTCCATCGAAAGTCAGCTTTTTCTTGGCGTCTGCCAGATAGCCTTGGTTCTTGTTTAGTGCTCGTGTAAGGGATGATACTATCTTCCTAAGGCCGCCTTCGGAGCTACTGGCCTCACCTGCCATGCTGGTATCTGGCCCTTCCTTGCTGGCTTTCTGCCCCCCTCTAGTCTTCGCCGTTCCTTCCGGGTCGAACCATCCCAACACCCTTTCTCTGAGGCTCCAGAGCCCTTCGCATCCTCGCGATGCCGCCGGCGAGGTTGGCAGACGGCTAACCCTACTGTCTGTGGCTAAGGGGTTCGTCGCCTTCTCTGCCTCCATTCCCGACGATTTCTCTCTCTCTTTCCTTCTTTTGCTCGGCGTTCCCCCACGGTCACTACCCTTGTCCCTTTGCCCAGTTCCGCCCCGACTGGTTTTCCGTTCGTCCCGCGGTACCTCCTGCAGAGGGCCTTCCTCGTTCCCAATCATCATTGCCTCAATTAACCTTGCCTTGTATTCCGCGGTCCTTTTCTCTATTTCTGCTAGTTTGCGCCTCGCGTTCGTGACCCTTTCTTTCTTAGACACAGCTCCCTCCGAGTTCTCGGGGCTCCCCCTATCCTTATTCCTGCCCTCCTTGTTTTCCTGGGTCCCCTGTCTGCTTCCCCCGGCTTTTCCCGAGCTCTCTCCTGAGGACATTTCCTTCCGGTTCCCTTTGGTGCCATCCGGATTTGCTGATTCCCTGTCCTTCTGCCCTTCCTTGCTTTGCTCAACACTGCCTCCTAAGCCTGGTCCTCCCTCGCTTTCATGATTACCCGTCTCATCCTCCGTTGCCATACTTGCCTACCTCTACATAACCAAAGGATTCCCCAGAACAAACGCAGTGCGAGGCATTTAGGTTCCCTAGGTTCCAATCCTGTTGGTTTATCCTTTTACTTGGTAATTAGGCTTTTCCTCATTCCCATTTTCCGATGGCTTCCTTAATATGGAGCCGCGTCCGGCTCTGCTGCCTCACCGAGCTAAGGGCGTGACTTAGCTTCCCTTATCACCGGCTCATTTAGAGCGCCCTTATTCCGTTGGTCGGTGCGTAGGGGTCCGGGTTGGGCAACCCGCTAGAAAAAGTTTTTTCTGCGCGGTGTTCCCTGTCTGGCGGTTATTGATCATCCAGGTCTGAGCCCCCCCCCTTTCCTATTTCTGTCGGTGGCCTTCGAACGTAGCGGACTGTGCTTGATTTGCCCTACTGGCTCGCCTGCGGGTGCTAGTCCCGTTCTCGCCTTCGTGGCCCTTCCAGTTCGGTAGGCTCCTCGAATAGTTGAGCCACCCCCGTCAGATAATTCTCCCCTATCTCGATTTCCCTTTGGATTATGCGTTCGCACCCTGTCCAGTCTAAGCCGGGGCGCACAAAACATCAGGATGTGGATGACTTCTAGTAATTCGTGGGCCCTGTTTCCCCAGAACGGCCCATGCTCCACAGCGACATCGTAGAACAATGGTAGGGGAGGGAAAGTGGCCTGCCCAGACTATCGCTGAGTCTGCCAGCTCCCGCGCCCTCGCGAGGCTTCCGAAGACGAGGTCTATCATAAAACGGGCCACTCGGCATCTCAGCGGTGTGGTCGGTGCCCTAAACTCCCTCCAACCTCTCATTTCCACCCGGGTAAGTAAGCCAACGTTCCTTCTTCCCCTGACCGATTGTCCTATCCGGGTCAACGTCCGGGCGGCCCTTCGAAAGACCGGTGCTAGCTCATGACCTTGTGCTATCTCTACCCCCAACGAGTGTCAGCCGATCTCAGGCAGATACATGGTCCCGGTAACTTCCAGATTGGAAAACAGATCGTCTCCGGGTCCTCGGTTGAGTCTCATCCCTGTCCACGGACATTCTACCAACATGAAGGCGGCGTCCCTTCCCAAAGTCACGGCTCGCCATTCTATGTCGAACCCCCGATAGGTAGAACTTGACGGGAGGGATACTTCCCATCGTCCACCTTGTTCCAGGGCGGTCCGGGGTACCGAGGCTGGCGTTCCATTCGCACACGGGGCTGGCGTTCCACTCGCTCACGTCTTGCTGCCATTGTTACCTTGGTGATTCCCTGCATAGTCCACATAGAAAGGGTTACAGCCAATCTTCAGAATCCTCCCACCTACTGCCTCCCTTGCCCTTCGTGTTTTCATTTCTCTTTTCTAGTCCCAACTATCCCTCTATATCCCCGGGAGCAGTAGCCTCCTCTGGCTGTTCGTACAGCCGGTAGAGATCATCTATGTAGGTCGTGCCCGGACCTACCTCTCGCCGGATGACTCTCCACATGGTCTCCTCACTTATTTGTGGGACTCCTGGCCTAGCATTTACCGCTGCTCGTAGAATGCAAAGCACCTCGCGCCCTTGTTCGTCCCCGAAAGGCCCCATCTCTAGGAAGGCCTGATAGTATTCTCGATACATTAATGCTTCATCAAAATTTAGCCTAGTTACGGCAGTCACCGCCTGCTCCACTCGTTCTATGCCTGGTGGTAGACTCATCCTTATGACCTCATTTGGCTCGAAGGCCCCTGCCGCGACGACTTTTACCTCCGCCGTTACGTCATCTCGTTCCGGGTTTGCAAACTCAAACCCCTCCCGCCAGGTTATTTGCCATGCCCCTGCGAACATTCGCACGGGGTCATCCCCGGAAGCCAAAGCAATCCCAAAGGTTCGCCATCCCTCTTCCGCCAGGTGTAAGGATCCCGTCGCATGTACACGCCCTGGGAGGTTCAAGTCTACGCCCCCGAACTCCCCTCTCGCACGCCATTCCAGCTCCACTACTAGGTACACCGTATCTTCCACCAACTCTACCCCCACCCAGTCCATTACCGGATTGCTTACCGCATTTCTTGCCGGCAGGCTTATTTCGACCCTGCCTTCTGATATTCTCGGTGGCAGGATCCCACGAGGTCTATCCTCCCAGAACGTCATTCGTCGGGCCATCTCGTAATGTCTCCTTTCCTGCTTTCTTAGTCCGATTGCTGCACCCACCGAGATTCCATGCCTTTCGTGTTTTAGTCTTTCAGTCCTCCCTACTTATCGTACACTGGTTCTCGCCGCTATCCCCAACTCATACACGTTCAATTCTACCCCCTTCCCTTTTTCCGGTTGCTGCCACTTCCCCCTTATTTCGATCCTTATGCACCATCTTACGGCCTAATGTACACACTCCCTTTCTTATGCTACACCTTAATTCACAGGCACCCTCCACACGCAGGCCTTTTCACGGTGTTCGATCCCTCGTCCTTATTTAGTCGAACCACAGCACCTCAAATAGTTGAAAGACATCGTCTACATAGGAGGGTGCGGCCGCCGCTTCCCGACTAACTATGGCGTCCCAAGACTCCGCCTCTAGGCGGTCATAGGCGGTCATACCTGCCTAGTCTTAGGACGATGATGACTTCCTCGACTTTATCTCCGTAGAAGGGCCCATATTTCAATGAGAGCCTATAGAACTCCTCAGTCAGTCAGGCACACTCTATATGCACCTTTCTCATGGAGTCGGCTACTTCCAAAATGTGTTCAAACCCTCCAAACCACTCGGCTATGAACTCCGATACCCAAGCCGCTATCCGTAGACTCGGAGGCTTAAGTTCCTTCCATCCTCCCATTACAACTCTGCTACTAACTTCGTCCCATCCCTCGTTGGCGAACCGCTTGCCTTCTTTTCGGGTTTGGGCCTCTGCATCCCCTAGAAGCCACATCGGGTCCTGTCCTATTGCTAACATAGTGCAAAACAGGTGTCATCCATCCTCGGAAAGGACAATCGTTCCGACTGACTCTACCTTGCCTTCTGCTATATCATCCCAACCTTCCTCTTCCCTTATCGGGTTCCAAATCCGCTCTATCCATACATATGACAAGTCTCGGGCCACCTCAAACCCAATCCAGTCGCACGTGGTCCCCCTCCATCCGTTTCCTGTTGGTATAGGCATTTCTATTCCTCCTCCGAGTCGCCGTGGTTCCCAACCTTTGAAGGTGTATTCCATCATCCTTTCTTCTCTAGTCATCTTTCCCTTTCCTGCACAGTACCAGGCCACCCGTCCTTCCTGAGTTAAGTCCCCCTACCCCTCTTAGAAGTCCCAGTCCTCTATCTCTTCATGTTCATCTTCATCACTGAAGTCGTCCTCCTCGTCGTACACCAACTCCCTTACCCCGTCTAGAAACGTCTCCCCTATTGCCACATTCCTGTAGACTATCCCCCAATGCACAGTGCTAGGGACAAAGATATTGTCTACGCTAAGGCAGTTTAGTATCTCGGCCAGCTCCTCCGCCCAGTTCCCCTCGAAAGGCCCCATCTCTACTGATAACCGAAAAAAATCTTGCCTAGCGCATTGGTATAGCCCGAGGTTCGTCATGGACTGACATATCCGTACTAGCCTACTCCGGGTTCCGAAAACCGCATCCACTAGGAAGGGGGGCAGCACACATCGCATGGTTCTTACGGGTCGCATCATGCTTCCTCTATCCCCAAGTTCCACCCGTACGTCTACCTTTTCCATTTCCATTTCCCTCCGTTGACATGCAGTCCACACAACCTCTGCTTCTGTCTTCCTAAACAACTCGTCCGGTGTATTCCCGAGTGCCAACTCTATGATCATAGCTTTCTCCCCATCTTGCGACAAGTAGACCCACCCCCGGGCTTCCACTGTCCCCCGGAATTCCAAATCCATTAAACTTGGCGACAACCTCGTCAAGCTGACATTAGTCCATACTGTTTCTATCCAAAGAAAAGCATCCTCTCCTTCTAGCATTACCGTTTCATATGCTGGTTAAAGGTCCGTCCACGTTCCATTTTCCGGGAGGACGACCGATACCCCGTCCTTTATATCTACATTTTCGGACCACTAGTATAAATCGGGGAAGGCAACCATCGCACCATCTTGTTTTCAGCACCCAACCCCTGTTTTCATAAAAAGGGCATCAACCGGTCCTTTTGGTCAGGTCAACCCTTGCCCTAGATGAGAATTATTTCAGACCCCTCATCAAGGTCTTCCTATTTTACCTCCCTATTCCTAAGTACCTCCTTCCCATAATTCCCACGGCCGGCCATCCATTCGCCCACATTCTTTCTCTTGGTTCCATTCCAACTGACCTCTATCCTTCTTCCTTCCGATCATCTCTCACTCGTGTGGACTTAGATGGGGGGGGGGATAGACTTAGAAATATGTCCCATCCAACAGTCCGAACTCAATCAAGTTTTACAGAGGGAGAACACATAAAAAAAAATCAGGCAACCTCACACACGGGCCGGTCATCTCCTCACCGGCCATCCCCAATATGGTCTCTCCGCTGGTACTATCGGTAGAGTTTTATCCCATACCTCAAGCGCGGCTCAACCGTCGCGAGCGCGGTACCCAGGTCTCGGCAAGGCATTCGCCCTTTCCTCCTTACCCAGAATACCCCATCCCGTCTTGCCGCTTTGCACATCCATACCGACACCGAGCTTTACCTCGAGTGCCTAAATACAGGGACAAAGTCAGCCGTCCGGGCATTCACTTCCATCGGTCCGACAAGAATCACCCTTTCCCAAAACCATGCTACGAGAGGCTACTAATCGCCTCCGAGGTTCCGTCTTTGTCCGCATGCAGTGGTACTCCCTCCGCCAGCCAACAGGCTAAGCCCCGCCTGAGGAGATTTCACACCCCGTCCAGCAGATCATCGAGCCGAAGCCCGTCACCACTCGAACGAGAATGCTACTAATCAACCGACGTGACAAACATCCGTCCGACTGCTCGGTGGCCTGACCTCCACATACGAACACACGGCAACCTACAAAAGAGAACGACGTTTCGCAACCCGCACTGGCCGGTGCAGACCAATCCTTTCCTTCCGCAAGGCAGGACGCTCGAATCCCATCATGCAAACACAAGTCCCAAGTGGGACACACATAGTACAAGTGCCTTTCCCTTGGTGCACCCAATGCTTCCTACGCATAGCTCACAGATTTTCTCTCAGGACAATGAGTGTCACTCCCCCTACTTTCATACATAGTGGTTGGTTCCTTCTCGTGAGAATCTTCAAGGGTGAGTTAGTTTTCCTTGGAGTCTAGCAACTCCCTTCATTTCCCTTCTCTTCACTTGTCTGTCCTTTCATAGGGTAGGATTGTTCTTTCTTGATGACCAGTTGTGTTCATGTTGGTTCCTTCAAGCATTTTCAAAAAAGTGCAAAGTGCATGAGCCCACTGGGCTCAAAGAAGAGGATAGAAGGGCACCCGTCTGGTCGGATCACTCCGCCGCGGGATTTTCATTGGAACCTGGCCTAAGCCAAGCACCAACCGCCTGCCAGGTAACCGGAGCCTTTCTTTCATACGAAGAGGAAGGGTCGACCTGCGACTTGCCCAATGCTTCCCCGGACTGGCGAACATCAGCACTAGACGACGGAGGGCTAGAGTCATTCCTCAAAGGAACGACTGATCCCGTGCATAGCATGCATGATATATCTCCAGGCTTGGCCATGCCATGCACCCAGCCACCCTCAAATCTGATTTCTCACAAGGGAAAGAGCAAACACAAGTCCATTTTCATTATCTTGGGTTGTGTACACGTCATTGCGTCGGGCGCCCCCGTCGGAATCGCAAGGGTCAATTTAACCCCCATGCCCGTCACCTCCACCATTTTTGTAGGGCCGAACCCCGGTAAACTTTCGAGCCTTAGTCGACCCCACTGCGGGTCCCAGTTGGCTCGGCCCGCCCACGCTCATGCTCGGGGCGCGGGCTGTTCGTCCCGAGGTCACCCACACCTAGTGCTTCGAGATGGATGGGGGTGGGCCATCGCGCGAAGAGCTTTGACATTGGGGATGTAGCTCAGCCCTCACGCCAGGTGGTAGTCTCGCTGGTTGTTCCGCAACGCTGATTTTTTTTTGATTCTTTGTTGTGTTCTCATGCAATTACTCCTTCCAATACGCAGACAGTCCAAGGATTCTTTGAGCGTTTCTCTTCTCTTGTGCGTAGGCTAAGCGTCATCCTTAGGCCACGCACCATTTCCCTAAGCAATGTGGCTATATGGCGTCATCGGGGTGTGGCGGAGCCGTCCTCCCCCTTGCCTCTACGCATCCATCGGGTCTCACAATTTGCTGTTTTCCTTATTGAAGTAGGCCCCTTAGTCTTTTCGGGGTCCTCATATGCATGCACGCATAACATCACAATTTCCTTGGTACGATTGCACTCTCAATCACACTTCCAAGTCTCAAGCGCAAAAGTCATTCTCATGGGTTGGCTCTATGTCAAGGGCCCCATAGCCCCTTCGTCCCCTTTTCCTTGTTCTCTTGATGCCCAGATCCTCTCGCCCCTATCCCGCTCAAGGCATTTCTAGCCATTACTCACCTGCACAATCCCACACAAGCAATGTGCCCCGTTGGGGATCAACACATAGCCCTTCCCACATGCCTATCCTTTCCCATCTCTTTGGCCGTGCTTTGTTCCCTTTTCGTTGTTCAATCAGCCCATCCTCTTCTCATAGTCATGCAGTCGGGGAAACGGTTGAGTCAAACTGACCTCTCTCTCAACTTATGCTTCCTTCCGGATCCAGCCTTTCTCCCACTTTTTCAAACGTCCTTTCGTTTGCCTTCTTGGTGGCACAAGGGACCGGCTATCCTCCCCTTGTCCTCTTTCTCCACCAAGTGAGGTCTGATTTCGGTTACCGTCCGTACCCTGGCAATGTTTTCCAAGTGAGGGGAGAAGGGTTAGTCATATGCCAAGTGAGGGGACGGGAGAGAGGTAGAGTGAAGGCGAGGTGAAAAAGAGGGGAGGGGAAAAAGAGGACTAGAGAAGGAGGGGGGAAAAAGGGGAGAGAGAGAAGGAGAGGGAGAGAGAGAGATGTGGACGGGAGAGGAAGAGAGAGAGAGAGAGAGAGAGAGAGAGAAAAGAAGACCTTCTAATCAAATCAGCTCCTCGTAGCAGAAACCAAACATCGATCATCCGTCCCATAGAAAATGGTTGACTAAGTAAATCGTGGAGTATTATGCACGAACATGACAATGAGAAGCTAGATCAATGGAAAACACATGCACCAAAAGAAGAGATCAACAAGGTAAAGATCCGGAACAC